CCCCAAAACCCCAAAACCCCAAAACCCCAAAACCCCAAAACCCCAAAACCCCAATTTAATAAGGTAAAATTGAAAAATTATAGTTGATTTTGATACTTTTGAGAGAGATTTAGTCAGGAAGGGGTCAGGTTTAGAGGATTTTGGGGGTTTCTATTTTTTGGGATGAAATTTGGATCTGATAGTACTTGTAGTGCTTATTTAGTAGGGTGTAATAGTGGTCTTAGAACAAAGCATTGATGTGAGTCTGCTTAATTAGCTCATCTTGTTTCTTGGTTAAATCTGAAATCGGATTTTTATAGGGTCCTTATGCATATTTGGTAGGGAAATTATCTTTGTTCTGGGATGATACAAACGGAGATACTGTAGAAATTATTATTAAATACTCCCAATCAAACTTTGTAAAGAAAGGATGAAAAATTTGCTCTTTTAGACCATTCAAGTCTAGTCAATAAGCAAGCTTTCTTTGGATCAACTTGCTGATGAAATTATCAGTCCCAATTGACTAGTCTTTTGATATTTCTTGCTTATTTTTTAACTGGTTTCTGAAAGAATATGATATCTATTGGATTTTCTGTTTTGTCATAATACTGTCTTTTTATTGAATATTCACTCATGCACAATGCTCAAACTAAAAAATGGCAGAATGCTATTCCAGATCTCTGTCTTCACTTCACTGAAAGAGCCAAGTAGCCTGGGTTGTCGCTGGCGTTATGCTGTTTCTTTCTTGAATCAAGACTTTAACCAATCCAAATCCAATAATTCTCATATAGCTATTTAAGACAAAGGCAAAGTTCTCATATTTAAAGTACTTAATACTAACTCTTCCTCTCATACCCGTATAACCTTATGACGTGGATTTCTCAATGGATAACTCGAAGATAGTGGATGTACTCTAAAGCAATAATGATAATGATCATACAAAAATTGGTAAGCTCTTCTCTAAATTTCTTCCACCTACCATGGTACCTCAATATCATCCTTCATCAAGGTAGTTCAGTAAGACGAGCCAGTTTTCTCTTCTTTGGACTAAAAGTTTATGTTTACAAGAAAGTTATGCTTGAGCTTGATTAGTAAATTATATTAAATCACACAATCCCTTATTCTATTTTACTGCCTTAAACCGGGGTTTTGGGGTTTTGGGGTTTTGGGGTTTTGGGG